TCATGCGAGAGAGATGGGATTTGTTTGCAGACTTTAGGGCATGCGAAAAGTTAGGATTTGGGACTATTGTGGATTGAGTAAGAAAAACTGGTCAAGACGGTATCTTCAGTGTTTAAAAATTACCTTGGATAACAAATCCTGAGAGTGGCCCTTGGGGCTTTGGAGACTAGAGATAAAAATCAACAGTCTCTCCCGGGCCCAGAATGGCATCTAAAGAAAAGAAGAGTTAGTGAGGGGAGGTACCTCTCTGCACGACTCTAAGTCGGATTTCTCCTGGCTTGACAACTATGTCAGGTGGGTTCTTGACATCGCAGAAGTAAGTGCCGTTGTCCCGGAACTGCACGTTTGCTATGCTGACAGATGCATCTTTCTTGTTAAGGTCTCCAGCCCAACTGATTCTGTTCTTAAATGGTGTGTCCTTCCCAGGGTATGCGTTCCCTTGAGAGTAATAGAAGAACTGCAGCCAGGGAGGAGAGCATGTAAGAACATCCACGTCAGAACATTGCAAAGCTTACACCCCTCCTTCACTAAGATAGTATCTCCAGATCTGCCGGGCCCTTTCCAATACCACATTAGGAGGTAGGAGTAGGAATTCCTCCAGAGGCCAGCTACTTCTAGCTTTGCAGATTGTAGCAAGCATGCTGTCGCTCCACTAATACACATTCAAGTAGCCACACTATGACTTAGTCTTCAAGCCCACCGCAAAGTCTTTTTTTTTTTAGGCCAAGGAGTCTCAATCTGGATGTTGCGATGCTACAGAAGGGTTCACACATAGGTGTCACAGGTCACAACCACTGTGCCATTCTTGTATTGAAACAAGAGGAGGATTCCACTTGCCAGGTAGATGGGAAATGACCCTGGGGTTTCCTTACTGGAAAAAGTTGTGAACCACTGCCCAAGACAGTCCTTACCATAATAATATGTTCATACATCACCTAGCACAGTGAGGCCACAATTCTGATTGAGGCATCTAGATGCTGCTACAATGCAAGATGAGTATTTAATACTTGCATGTTCAGCTATGTAAAGATTAACATTGTCTATGTGATGGAGGAAGAGGAAGGGAGCTAAGCCTGAAACGGTTTTGGCTGGTGTGTGGTGGTGAAGGGGTTTCCTTCCCTACATTTTGTAAAGAGTTAATTTAAGAATGCAGGTTGTTAGTGTAACATGAAATCTGACTATTCAAATATGGAAGACAGATAATTCAGAGATGTTCAAACAGCAACATTAAAATATGATTTAAGTACAAATATGTGCAAAGTAGCCAACTTAATGATACTAAATGTCTAAAAACTAAGAGTTAAGGTTGCCCATGCATTTCCAGAACCTGGAGATTGATTAAATTCTCTGAAAACCAGGAAATAAGTTAAGTAGCACGCTGCGCCTGCAATGCAACCTTAGTTCTGTGCCCTGCAGCTAACTGGGAATGGTTCAGTAGGGTTGGTGCCATTAGCAGACATGAAGGACTACATAAAGGTGTCATTACTTGTGCTGTATTCAAGATCTGAATCTGCATTTATCTGCCAGCACTCCAGGGACTGTCAGAACTCTGGCAATATGCATGACTATAGTCCCCAAGGCCCGGCGAGGGGCAAGTGAAGGCACCATCTCTGAAAAAAATCCTCAGGCCAAAGGGTGGTAGCAAGTCTGGCGTAATCTGTGTAGAATCACCAAGTCCTGTATGCTATGCCTGCTCTAAATTAGAGGTCTACAGTAGCAAAGAGAAGGTGTTAGACTTAGCCCTGCAGTGATCATGTATTCTATAGCATCTGTTAGGCCCGGTACAGGGCTAGTCTGTGTTTTCAGGCATCGCTCAAGGAGAGTAGAGTTGAGACTACACTGCGGGGATGGTATACACCTAACTCTTCATTTCTTGGTTTTCAGAAGTTTTAATTTAGCCATGCTCCACATTCTGGAAGGGCACAACACATCACGGGAAACTAACTGTGTTACTCAAGTTGGGGGAATTTTTTTTAATAAATAATTTTTCAACATTCCCATCTAGCATAGCTCAGCATCCCCCTTCCACTGCTTCTGGTCCTGGGCAAGATTATCACAAAATGCACTGGCTGCATGCATGTCATTTCACTGCCCCGGCATCATCTCCAGTTCTGCTTCTACAGCACAGGCCACCTTACCATGAAGTGGCACGTGTCAGCATAGCAAGACCTGGAAAGAAGAGGCAGGAACAGTGGACGAACTAGCATGGAGTCTAGTGGGGGAAGACAGGAAAGCATGTATATAGGGTATTTGGGGAGGCAGGTGAAGCTGACCAACATCCCCCACTGTACAGCTCTGACCCCTCCTTTCCCTGTACTGCTCCAACACCCCTCACATTGCCCCCCTCCTCCCACCACTGCTCTGACACTGCTCCAACTCTTCCAACATTCCCTCCATCACATCCATTGCCGACTACCCCCACAAACCCTAGGCTCCAAGCCCCCTAGGCACTCCCACATACACTGCTTCAATGGCATACACACCCCCAAGCTCATTCACCAGCACCCTTGCACTCCACACACCCCTGGTAAGCTCGCAGAGGCTATGAGAAGGAGGGGAGATGGTGAGGCTGTGAAGAGTGCACGTACCAGATGGAGGCAGGAGAGTGATGATGTAGTCCCTACCCACATGCACTGCACATGCTCATTCCCTGTTCCCCATCCCAGACCACATCTATCCCTTATTTGTTGAGGGATGATCGAATGCCTCTTTAGGAAACCCAGTTCTTCAAAGCTCTAGTCAAACTGGGTTTTCATGTTGTGCCTGAATTCTTTACATCAATAAGGTTTGCTGTCCAGGATGTGCTGGCCCAGTGCATAGCTCCAAGGGGCAAAAGATGACACAGAGGGTGGGCATGGCCCTCACTTTGTATCCTTCCAAAGCCAGTGCACTCCTCCACACTGCTCCAGCGCTTCCTCCCTGCTCTGACTTTCTTTGTTACATAACTGTGCACCTTTTTAAGGTTTAGAATGTATGTATACACTACAAGCACTACAGCAGCACACTACAGCAAGGCCACTGTAGCACAGGCACTTGCTACAATGACTGAAGAGGTTTTTCTGTCACTGTAGTAAATCCACCCCCTCAATAGGCAGTACACTAACTCCTCACTCAAAGTCGTCTCGGTTAACATTGTTTCGTTGTTACGTTTCTGATCAATTTGGGAACATGCTTATTTAAAGTTGCACAATGCTCCCTTATAACGGCATTTGGCAGCCACTTGGTTTGTCCACTGCTTACAGAAAGAGCAGCCTGTTGGAGCTAGTGGTGGCGGCTTGGAACCCCCATCAGCTCCCCGCTTCCCTAAATTCCCTGTGCAGCAGCCACCCAGCAGAGCTCTTCCTTAATAATATCCAAGACTTCCCCCTCCCAGCCCTGCCCCAAACAGCAGGATCAACCCAGACAAAGGGCTCTTACTGATATAGGAGTTGTTGCTCCCTCTGGTTGGAAGCTCCAGGAGATGGACGCTGCGCTGCTGATCACATCTCGGGATGAAAATGTGCATGGAAGTCTTGCTTCTGTCCCATTCTCCACAAAGAGCTCCTCTGGTGTCTTCACATCAAGTGCGGATACTCTGACTGTTTGGGGGTGGGGAAGAGGAAAAGGAAAAATGAAAGAGTCAAGAGCTGTCTTCAAGGACGAAGAAAGAACAAGCTACATGGGATAAACTGGTATCACCTCAAGAATTACACAAGAGCTCCAAGAAGGCATCACCACCCCTATGTGCAGATATCACATCAAGTTTATAGCATGGACACATTGGCTGGATCCTGCTTCTCCTTTCTTGTGGCTTTTGCTATGGGGTGTTCCATGCCAACAGCTGCTTCCTGTTGTGCAGCTGGTGGGAGACAATGTTATAGTACGAAACTCCCTCGTATTTATTGCTCCAACTTCCACTGGCAGTTTTTGAGAAGTTAACCTTGAGAAAGGTTTTGGGCCTGCTGCTAATCCATTTCCTGCTTCATTCACATCTCTCTCCTCCCCACCACACTCTGAATCTCTGCTGCAACTGGAACAAAACACCAAATTCAACTCCACTCATGATGAAGTGGGGGGGGGGGAAGAGAGGGGGGAAACTAACCTTTTGACTTAAGTGCACCACCTAATTCTATAAAGGCATAATGTTACCATTCCCTGGCTCACTTCAGCAGCAGTCCTAAATAAATCATCAAAGAAATACATATGAATTGTTTGACTTACAACATTACCAAAGCTTTTAACTCCTACAGCATTTCAGGTGAAGGATCTGTTTAACAAGATTTCTCGTTACTGAGCCAGTGATAGATGTGCACAGTCATACAGACTGGAATCTGTCACCCCATCCTTCTCCTCACTTCCAAAAGAGTAAGCTTCAGAGTATTTTACAAACTGAGAAGTTGGTAACAGCGACTCTGGTGTGTGTTATTGCCATTAGATCTGAATTTAATCTGAGAGGAAGTTGGATCACCTCACACAACAGGCTTGGAAAACAGCTTATAAATGTCAGTTCTATTAAAGATAGATTATAATATTTTAAACTGAGGCAGCCTCCAGACACTTAGCTACCATGGTGATGAGTTGTGGTTTAAATATGGATTGCCAAAACATGGAGCGGTAAGTCTGCAGTGGGTCTGAAAGCGAGCCCTGAAGATTGCATATGGCTCATTAGAGTAAGTTCATCTTCTGTAGAAGTTAGTCTGTAGAGTGCTCTGGAAGTGCTAGTTATTTATTCTCCTACAGAACAACCTTGTTTAAGAGGCCAGGGGAGGCTGGGTATTACTGACTGTCTTGTCATCACAGCCATTGTATCAAACAAACAGAACAGCACAGAAACAGCACTCTAAGGGAGGTGGATTTTCAACAAGAGGTTGCATCAAAGCTTCCCTTCTCCCCCACATATAATCTAACTACAGGCCAAGAAATACTCCTTTCCTTGGGTCCCTGCTACCAAATGTTTATTCTGAACACACAAGAGGTCTTCTGGAAATTCAGTGAAGTGAATACATAGCTGCAGTGCTGTAAGTAGATTTTTCTGCTAATGGAGTGGCTATTATGATAACGGAAAACAATCCATTGTTTCAAGACCAAATCACAGAACAAATCTCCCTTTCAGGTAAAAAGCAAGCAAGATGCCCTCAACATTAGTGTAGGAAGTAAAATCAGCACTGAGACATTGCTTGCCTGTATAGGGGACAGAGGATTTATTGCTACCAACAGGAAGGAGTAAGCACTGACCTGTTTATTCCAAGAAGCCACTGTTGTACATAAATAGCCCGTGGAAGTGTGGTGAAGAAAAGCCTCCTCTCCCTCTTTCAGTCCACACTTACTAAGCAGCAGGGATTTGGAGCAATCAAATATGTGAATTGCTCCACTCCAGCTCCGGGCATAAAACCTACTGGTCTGTGCTCCAGCCCCGGGCTCCGCTCCCAAGCCCTGCTAAGCAGGAGTTTTACTATTGGAGGATCTGTTGTACACCTGAATATTAATAATCTTTCACTCCTGGAACAGAAGCCAGGTTTCCCATTTAGTTCATAAGTGGGCTTTGTCTCTTCAGGTCCAGACTAAGATTCCCAGTTGACTACATCACAAAGCCACCCCACAATGGATAGTTTATTCTCACTAGCCACAGACCCTGATGCTTTAATAGAAATGTGTTAGGGTCAGAAGGAGGTAGTAACCCCCTGAATTACATAAACAGCCAGCCGGCACTAGAGCATACAATACAGCATAGTCTCCAAAGTTGTAACCTCACTAAAGATCAGATCTTACAGACTTGAACCCTGTAGCAACATAACTGCATTCATCTCAGGAACAAAGACAGCTCCCGGTTATAGTCTCCAGCCAACTCTGATACCAGCATCATTGAATCTATGACCATATCCTCAAATCCCAAACAGACATCAGAGGACTGTGATACAGAACACCATCCTTCAGCTTTCCCTTCCCATCGCTCCCTGCAACAGTCAGGAGTCATATTAGCCTGAAAGAGCTCAGGGTCACCTCATGCCGTACCTCTGACACAGCTGCAGAACATTCTGTAATAGGAGTGTCCCCATAGGAAGCTATACAATTCTATTGGTTTAACTATACACCTCTACCCGGATATAACGCTGTCCTTGGGAGCCAAAAAAAGAAAAGAAAAATCTTACTGCGTTATAGGTGAAACCGCATTATATCGAACTTGCTTTGATCTGCTGGAGTGCGCAGCCCCGCACCCCCGGAGCACTGGTTTGCCATGTTATATCCGAATTCATGTTATATAGGGTCGTGTTATATCGGGGTAGAGGTGTACCAGTAAAACACGTCCCAAGAATGCATCAGATCTATAAACGGAAGTTGTAAAATCCAACAAGGAACGCAGCAACTTCGGCACAAAGATAAAGAACTTGAAGCGCTGCTGCTGAAGCTAGAACTTGGCACCAGTATCTGGCATTGTCATAGGCTATGCTCTACCAAACAGGCAGGCCTCTAAACCACACATCCTGGGAGATTATGCTCACTCGCAGGCAGAACAATATGGTACAGCTCCCCCATAACCCTAGTCTACAAGCAATTATATCAAAGTTCTTCAGGGAAGCTAGATTTTCCAGAAATCTTGCTTTTTTTACTTCCACGGCAACCTATGGAGATAAGAGGCCAGTAAAACGCATTAGGTCCCAACTATGTAGTTATCTAATCATTCAGATTAGTACTTAGTCCAAATTTGCCCTCCCTTAAGTCACTGCACCTACAAAAGTAGGTAAAAAAAATCAATGAGTCTCTTCCTGTCTTCCCTTCTCCATAAGGAAATAGTTGGCTGAAGAACAGGTTCCCATTCTATCCAAAATTGTGGTTTGAAAGTGCCTTACTCAGTTTCCTGATCTTTGCCTAAATACAGAGGCTAGCAGTTGAGGTAGCTCCGAGTGCAGTTTTTTTCCAAACAGCACCCACAACCCCAACCATCTAGTGCAGCGATTCTCATATGCAGCTACCGGGGGCTTTTCTTGTGGCCACAGCCTCAGGGGCTTTGATTGCGGGGAGGGGGAAGGGGAGCAGTGGCCCCTCCCTGGTGCTCCTGAATGCACAGCCTTGGTGTTGGTTTCTGGGGCTTCCAGCAGATGTTGGGCCCTGCCACCCTCTAGAGTCAGCTGGGGCACAACACTAGAGGGGCAGGCAGCCGGTGAGTTCCCCATTTACACAGGGGCGGCGGGGCTCAAGCTTTGGGCTTCGACCTTGGAGTAGCAGGGTTGCAGGCTCCGGCCACAAGGTTTCAGGCTCCAGCCCCCCGCTGCCTCCCCCAGCCCCTGCTGCCTCCCCCGATCCTCCATCCAGGGCTTAATTTGTCCCTAAACTTGCCGGGGCTGAGTAAGTCTGCTGTGACAAATGATACTTGTATGTTTGTTGATATCACTTGTCACAGCAGACTTACTAGCTAGCACTAAATAAATTACTATGATTTGTACAATATGTACATTTGTTTTTCCTAAAGCTAATTAAGTATTTTAGGAAAAAGTGTGAGCAGCCACCAGCAAGAGTTGGTGGCTGCACTCTGAGGCCACCAAATAATTTGTCCTGAGAACCCTAGTGTCTACAATGGTAGGTTTGGAGATCAAGAAACTATGTTTAAGCTCTTCTCCACATGGGAAAATTGACCAAAATAGCTATTGAAGAGTAAGTTTCTCTCCATTTGGTGTAATCAAGCCAAGTAAGAGTAAAATAAAAGCAGAACCATAAACAGATAAACCCAAGGAGGAAGTTGAAATACCAAATACAGAACCCCATACTCTGCTATGTGGCATTAAACAAGACGAGAATAACCAGTAAAGTTAATTGCACTTGAACATCTCTTGTGGAAGTGTAAATCTTAGATATAATTATGAAGAGGCAGACACCACTGTGTGCAGGTCCACTTTTTCTCAGCTAGAAACAGTCTTTGGGTAGGCTAATAACACCTACTTACCAGAGTGCATTGGCAAAGTACAAGCAGCAGTGGCACAAAGCCTCTCTGGAGATGGTCATCACTGACCCTATTATCAGCAATTTAGCAGACTGACTATATCAGTTACTAGGCCTTCCCGCCTCTCAGAGGCAGGCTCTACAGCAATCATCCTGTATTAAGGAAAGAATGGAAAGTTATTCAGCGTAACCGTAAAGTTGCTTTACAGAACAGATGTTCATGACCAAAATTGTTTCCAAGCTAAGTTTTGACACCTAAAACTTATTATTAGTCTTCACCCAAGTAGACCAAATGGTCTTGTGGCAGAACAAGCTCGTAATTTGCTTAGAAACCAGTCCAATATATTTTTCCATCTCTTATTTCTCATGAAGTTGTTATCCACTGGGTGACACTCAGTTTAAGAGGAGGTTGAAGTGACAGGAGTGGGAAAGCCTAAGTGTCACTGCTATCTGCTACCTAGCCCTGCTCTTTACATCCCTCCACTGGCTCTCCCTTCTCTATCACATCAAACACAAGCTACTTACCTTCACTTTCAATGCCCTTCACAGCCTAATCCCACCCTACCTATCATCTCACATTTGCTATCAAGCTCTCAACTCCCATCTCCACTTGGCCCAAGAAGCCAGCCTCCACCACTCACTTGTCAAACTTTCAAACAAGCATCTTTGTGTCCCCTGCATACCTCATCACTCCTCACACTTAGGAGCTCCCTGTAAACATCTGCAATCCTACTTCATTACCTTCCTTCAAATCCCTCTTCAACTCCTTTGCCATAATGGCTACCAAAGAAACAGCAATTAGACTATTGCTGTGTTGAGAGCACTGCTTATCATGCTGACCAATATTGTTTCCTTGTACTCCCCCATTTGTCTCTTCTTATACACAGACTATGTCTATACATACAGCGCTGCAGCTCTCCATTGGCATAAAAAAACCTCCTCCGCAAGCAGTATAAACTAGGACGGTGGGAGAAGCTCTTCCACAGACAGTGCTGTGCACCTGAATGCTTATGTTGGTGTAATTGAGGTCACTCGGAATAGTCACACATACGTTTTGCCAACATAGGCTGTAGTGTAGACGTAGCTTCAGAGTGTAAACTTTTGAGGCAGAGACTGTCTTTGTTCTGTGTTCAGCGCCTAGCACAATGGGTCCTGGTCTATGACTAGGGCTCCTAGGTGCTATGATGAGAGAGAGAGAGAGAGAGAGAGAACTTTCACACAGCATAAGTGTGAAAATTAAGTGAAATAAGATTAAGGTTAAAATGAAAGTCAGAAGACTTAAGTAAATAGGATATTAATAAGGTAATTAAATAAAGCAAGATGAAGGGACAAGTAAAGGTATGGAACTGAGGTGTTGAAGTGATATCACAAGGTTGGCATCTGTCCCAGAGTAAGTCCTGCTGACAGTTGTAGGTTTAAGTAGCAGTGTGGTAATTAGTGTGAAATTCTGCAGGGGCCAGTAATGCCACCACCCACTGAGGCTTTGTCTTCCTGAGGGAGAGAGGAGTTCTTAACAGCTCAAATCAAGAACACACCTTCCTCTCCCACCCCAGTGAAGACAAGGCAGGTTTGTATTTTCACAAGATTTAGTAGGTAGTGTTAAAGACTAGATTTCCTCCAGTTTTAATTCAAACTGCCAATTTGCAGGTTGGAGTTTTAATTCAACCTTCTAATTAGTGTGAAAACTGAGGGAAATCAAGTCTAACACAACCTGCTAATTCTTGTGAAGACTCCAGCCTGTCTTGTCTTCATTAGATACCAAGTGAGTTAGCTAACTCGACTTAACACCCTTTTTCCTAGCGAAGGCAGCTGAATAGGAAAAAAATGACAGATGACTAAGGCTATGTCTACACTGGCAACTGAAGGACAAAACTTGTCTTTCAGAGGTATTTAGAGAAGGGGTGGGGGGGGTGGGGAACCTGAAAGACACAAGTTTTGACGGTGACAAGCACCAGTGTGAACAGCGCTTTGTCAGCAGCAGCGATCTCCTGCCAACAATGCAAACATTGCTTGTTGGGGACGGAAGTTTTGTCGGCAGGAGAGCTGACAAACAGCAGCTACACTGCACCACTTTTAGCGGCCTGGCTGTAGTGACACAGCCATGTCGCTAAAAGCCGTGTAGTGTAGACCTAGCCTAAATTTTGAGTGCTTAAAACCCCACCACAATCTCCATCCTGACCCTGCAATACCAGGGCATCACGTCATCTAGACAGCCAACAGAATCTCTATAAGGTTTGCTAGTTAGCAACAAACGACTCATTTTGACTGCCTTCACGACCATTCCTACCAATACATATTCATAAGTTTCACAACTGAAGATTTTTTATTTCCAAGAGAAATTAGGGGATGGCACCAATCTAAATGAGGGAGACATCTTTCTTGCATTGACAATAGCTACTGTTGGATCATAAAGGAAGAGAGAAGAGACTGATGATAAACAATGAGTAGAAAGAGGAACAGAGAGAAAATCCATAAGGTGGACTTAGGGCGTGCAAAACAATTCTATAGAAGGCAGTTTTTAATCATAAAAATGGTGAGTCATTGGAGTTGTTGGGTTTTTACACCCTCTCATATGTAATTGAGGAGTCATTGCTAAGGCAGAACAGGAAAGGAAACAGTTACCACACTTGGATTTTCCATGTTTTATATAAACCAAGAACTTTGTTCCTCTTTTGCTTAAGACTGTAAGTGCGAGTTGAAAAACCCAACCAGTCCACCTCTGATAAGCTGTATAATCAAACTATGATTACCACACATACAATTCTTTTCTCCTGGGGGACACTCCCCATACCACCACAATTAAGCACCAATATGGCTTGAGATACGTACAAGTTAAAAAAAAGTATGTCAAAGAATGGCATTATGGCATACTGCCATTGTAAAACCAGAAGGGTGAAAATATACCCAGTTGGTACAGCTTTGGGCATTTTACAAGTGTCCTGAAGTCCCACCTTTATCTCTACGCTGCTGAGACAACACTTACTGGCAAGGATCCTTGTTCTAAGAAGCCTCTTACTCCGTTCTGCTTCACTGCCCAATCTTTGCCCCAGTAAGATCTCGAGAGCTGGAAAGGGACCAAAGAGCTGCATCAAGTTTACGTGAGATGGAGCACACACTGCAGCCATCCTCATCCTTAATATACCAGGGAAGCCTGTGAAGACTAAATGCCACAGTAACAAATTATTCTGATCAAGATGGAGCATTGCATACTGGACCCTGTAGTATATAGGGGCTGCACACACATCTTAAGGATTAAATCCCACAGGCCAGTGTAACAAAGCATGCACATTGCATTTGATCTATGCTAGAAAAGTACCACGGGGGGGAGGGGGGCAGGGGGAGGAGAAGGGGGAGAGAGGTTTCAAGTTCTTTTTTTTTTTTAATAATGGACATCAGCTAAAGGAAAAAGATACCTGGACAGTACCTTTCATACACTGTACAGGTTTTTTTTTTCCTGTAGTTCAAACTGGGAGAAGACAGTTGCATCAGTAATAGGGGGCACAGGGGCAACTTTCCTTCCACAGCCTTTAGGTGCATGTGTGGCACATTTTCAAATCTATTGTGCAATTGAAAAATGGAGGCATGCAACATTAATTTCACAGAGAGGCAGATTTCCAGGAAAACTGCCACAGACCTGACCTGTGGCTCTTAATGGGTGCATGTATTTATTTAATAATAAATTACATTTTCCATGCTTATCTAGACTTGAGGAATGGCATTATCTTGTAAGCTTGTAGACTTTAGTCTCTTGTATACACTAGATATAAGACAATAGATAGTGGAATTTTTTAGGCTTTTATTGCCTTGTTTAAGGAAACTTGAAAACATTCCAACTTTGCTAATTCTACTTCTGAACTGGAGTTAGCAACATCTGGGACCTTAGTGTACACACCCCACTGGCTGCTGGTACAGTCTTCAGCACAGGATTATCTAAGCCTGCTCACAGCAAGTTTTGTCAACATGATGCTGCAAACTGTCAGCAGCTGCTGCATTGCCTACCCTAGGGTTCCTAACATTGCTAACATCAGTTCAGTTGAACATGTGTTGGCAACAGATGCTCAACTGGATGAGGGTTTTTCTCCCAGCCAGTGGTAGAGACCTCCAAACATCTGCAGTCTTAAATTCCCTGCAAACCCAGCCTGGGTCCTTGAAACATCTGGCTACTAAGCACATGCTCAAACAAACTTATATAGATTCAGTTTTTAGGAACTTGATTATCCAAAAATCGATTCCAATATATCTAGAAAGTGTTTTTCTTTAATAGATCTGCCAAATGTTGGTATTTGTAGGCATACTCCCTCACTCTGAGTTAATTTTAAGTAGTTTACATTTCTCCCTCATGAGGAAGGATTTTGCTGTGTTTCAAGGAGAGACTTTAAGAACCTTTCTTGTATTGTCCTGTTTTGGACTACTGTTTTAAAAAAAAAATCAAGATTGATAAAGAGAGGCAAAGTGGATGAGGTAATATCTTCTATTGGACCAACTTTTGTTGGTGAAAGACAAGCTTTGGAGCTACAAGAGCTCTTCAGGCCTTCTTGACTTTTTTTTTAAATCAGCTTTCCTCCCTAGTGCATTGCAGCTTTTAAAACAATTGTTGCAGTCAGTTATTTCTGCTGTTCCTTGCACTTTGACTTGTACTTGATTTACAGCTCTTGGTTTGCAATATTCACTTTGGTCCTAATGTGTTAAAGAACTTGGCGTGACTAGGTGGAGAATACTTTCCAGTCCTAGTGCACATTTTCTCAAGTTCTCAAACAAACAAACATTCTCAAGACTCAGCTCCACCCTTTTTCCAGATGGGCAAGCTTGGTACATAGTCTGAGGCCTGGTCTCAAGTTGAATATGAGGCTGACACAGCTACGTTGGTCAGGAGTGTGGATTTTTCCACACCCATGACCAACATAGCTAGGTCAGCCTCTTATTTAAGTGGTGACCAGGCTCAGGCTGACATAATGGCTAGCGCAGTGACACATTCCCCTGGTGTTACCTGGACCGGTGATCTGCTAGGTCGCTCCAATCCTCAACTCTGTGAGCCAGTCTTACCCTGCTCTGCTGTGAGAACCCCCACTCCCAGGCTGTTCACACACAGCCTCTAGCATGTAAGCTGCTCCCAGTTACATGAGTGAGCACTTTTGGCCGGCTGCTGCTTGGACTGTGCACCCAATGACACTAGCCAATATCTCCGGTCCCAGACACAACCCTGGGAACCTCCGTCTTGCAGTGTCCAGTTATGCACGCTAGACGCTGCAAGCTTATATGAGTTCATCAATTTAACAAAAAAATTGATATGTACCAGGCTTGTTATCCCAAGGGGAGTCTCTGGCACGCTTCAAACCAAACGTACTGCTTCACGTAGAATAAACAAATTTATTAACTAAAAAAATATAGATTTTAAGTGATTATAAGTCAAAGCACAAGTCAGATTTGGTCAAATGAAATAAAAGCAAAACACATTCTAAGCTGATCTTAACCCTTTCGGTGACCTTACAACTTAGATGCTTCTCACCACAGGCTGGCTGGCTGGCTGCCCTTCAGCCAGGCTCTCCCTTTCGATCAACACTTCAGTCGCTTGCTGGTGGTGTCTGTAGATGGAGGTGGAAGAGAGGGGAAGAGCATGGAAAACGTCTCTCCCTTTTATTATGTTCTTTCTTCCCTGTCTTGGCTTTGCCCCCACCCCCACCGCTTCAGGGTCAGGTGAGCATTACCTTATCCTAGTCCCAAACTGTCCAAGGGAAGGGGAGTGACTCACTCCAGAGTCCAAAAGATCCTTTGTTGCTGCCTAGGCCAGTGTCTTTGTTCCTGTGAGGCTGGGCTGGGCTTGTCGCATACATGCCCTGATGAGGCATGAACTGCCCCTCTGTTCCTGGAGAGTTTTGCCTGGGCTTGTTTTAAGCCAGTGGTTCTCAAACTTTTGTACTGGTGACCCCTTTCACACAGCAAGCCTCTGAGTGCGACCCACCCTAATAAATTAAAAACACTTTTTTATATATTTAACACCATTATAAATGTTGGAGGCAAAGCAGGGTTTGGGGGTGGAGGCTGACAGCTCGCGACCCCCCCCCAGGTAATAACCTCACAACCCCCTAAGGGCTCCCAACCCCCAGTTTGAGAACCCCTGTTTTAAGCCATGAGGACACATTTTCAGCCTCAGAACTATATACATTAAATTACAACTTATAACATTACTATAACAACAATGCTCAATGCATCATGAGCCTTCCAAAGACACTCAACATGACAAACTTTGCACTGGATACCACACAATCATATTATAAAGATGAACATGGGGGTGCAGGGTGTTTCCCCGAGATACAGAGTGTCACAACCAGGCTTTCAGTCCCTTCTTACCTATTGCTGACCTGGGGAGTAAGTTCCAGCATGGAATTTCTCACTCTCTGTGTACAGGATAATGGGCGTAGTTTACTTCCAATATGAGGACGCTATTTTGGGAATTATGTAGCATGAGAGCATAAGGCCACCTAAAGGCAATACCCTAAGTTCAAAGACAGTAATTTAAGAATCCTCTCCTTTGAACTCTGTCTCAAGACAAACATTCTGAAGTCTGACAGGGGACCCACTGACCTTCTAAAGTGAGATGAATTCTTCTATGGATTGCATTTATCCAATAGGCACGTAGGCCAGCAACACAACCAGCTCTGTATAGTGTATATAAAGCCTTGTAATTATGCTGTGGGGCAGAATCTAAGCCAGTCACAAGAAGAATAGGAAAACAACATTTTGCAGACTTATTTTCTCTACATTAAAATAGGTAATTCAGTGGTGTATTCAGGGTTTTCAACCTGAGGGTTATTGGTGGTGCCACTTTCAATTATACCTCTTCCCCTCCCCTACTATGACCAAGAAGAGCAGGGCTGGGCCCCCGTTGTGTCCTTGCTCCTACCCCACAGACTTGTCAGCACAGCTCTGTGGTCTATGAGGGTGTGAATCAGGAAGCATGCTAATGTGCTGTGCACTAACCTTGCTGGCGCAATATAAAAGTACCTCGATCACCTTAAGGTTGTACTACAACTACGTGAACTTGGACCCTTCCAGTTCACGTCAACAGTGCTTACGAAGTGCAGTTAGAGTGCTCATCTATCTATAAGACGGAGAGTCTTTGTAATACCCCATGTCAGCTACTCTACCAGTCAGCACTCCTGCCCAATATCATGCCTAACAAGACAAGTCTGCCTTTCCAAATTTTTTAGTACATGGATTTTTTTTCAGGGGGGACTGGTATTGGCTATTTTGCATTCCCTTACAGCCACTACCACCACCCATAATTAGCGTCACTTCTGCAGTGAAAGAAAGTGAAGCACCTGATAGCTACCTCCTCCTCCACATGAGTCATCTCACAACAAAGAGAAAACTGCTTAACAGAAACTACTGTATTGCAGAGTGAGATTTAGTAGCCAGGGGGAATCTTGTTCTCCAGGGATGGTCTAACCTGTTTTGCATAAACTCCATGCCATGCGTGAATTCCAGTGTTTTGGCTTCATACAAAAACAGGTAGCAGTGGGCCAATCATACAGGTTTCTTCTTCTGCATTGGCTAATTCATCCACTCACAGGACACATGTCCAATTTGTTCCCTACTTGCAGTTAGCACCTTTCTGAAATTTCTGATATCTACCACCACACTTAAACACTTCACTTCCCAATACCCAAACTGAACTTGAGGGTTAACACTGCAATGTAAGTGTTGGCTGAATGCCTCAGGGCAAGGACTCTCAAAGTTTTCCCCATTGTGTGAAGGACATCTCAGAGCAATTGTGTGTATTGTCTCCTTTTCTATTCATGATTTCCTAACATCTGAAAGCTACAGCAATTCCTTACATGAAAGTAATATCAGCAGAATAGTTGTGTATTTTAAGCTGTCAATTAAGGGCTTGTCTACACTAGCAATTAACAGCCCTGCAACTTTCTCACTCAGGGGTGTGAAAAAACACACCCCTGAGCACAGCAAGTTGCAGCATTGTAAAGCGCCAGTGTAAACAGTGCCCCAGCACTGGGAGCTATACCCCTCATTGAGATAGGTGGTTTTTTTGTTTTGTTTTAATTTTTTTTAAAAGAGGGCTGGGAGAGCTGCGCTGCACCGTGCCGCGACCACACAAGGCATGTTAAAGCGCTGCCACAGCAGTGCTTTAGCTTTGACAGTGTACACTAGCCCTAATGTTAGCAGGTGAAAGAGAGGAGATTAAGCCCCATTGACTAAGCAGCTCTCCCAAGTCCACCAGGAAGTGTTCCCCAGACCAC